CTATTATTGAATAAAGGCATCCAAAATTTCAGTCAAAGAGAAGAGTAAAAGAGAGTTAGGGTGATCTCTTAGACAAATCACCCCTTAGGTTGCCATGATAGGGTCAGCACGCAAAGGGAGGGGCAAGGGGAAACTAGAGGTTCTCCCCGTGGACCGACCCGTGACGAGATCCTACGCCCGGGCCCATAACACTAACGTAAGCCTGCCAAGCGTAAGCAAGGCTAAGCCTGTGTCAGACCGTAACAACATGGCATATATTTTGCCACATTTATGGACATCAAATTTGGCATATATTTTTACATGTATCACAATGTTTGTCATATGGCATATATTTTTCCATGCATCACAAATTATTTTATATGGCATATTTCTTCCATGTCACAAACTTTGCCACATGGCATATATTTTGCCATGTGTCACAAATATTTCCACATGACATATATTTCGCCATGTGTCTCAAGTTTTGCCACATGGCACATATTTTTCCATGTGTCCTATATTTATGGGTATTAAACATGGCATATATTTTGCCATGTGTGCACTTTATTGCGTTTATATCACATGTGGTAAGGCCACAGATGTTTGCACCTTGCTACGTTTTGTGAAATGCATATTTGGCCCAAAATGCATAGCCAAAGCACGAAGTAATCCAGAATGATTTTGTGCTGTTTGTTGCAGATTTGCTTTTGCTCTCAAGGAATCTACTTCGAAATCACGCTTAACCAAACTACGAATCTGTTACTTCGCTATCAAAGCACAAAAATACTTTGAAAAAGCTTATCCAAACATAACCTAAAATGGTTCAAATTTTTCAGATGATGAACAAAGTTCCATGTATTTAACTATCTAGGCCTCAAAAAAGAACCCAGGTTCTCCAAAATGAACCTTTGTCCATATCAGCATAAGAACTTACTTAAAAATTTTCATATCAAGTTTTAACAACATACAAATGTTTGATTCTTTTATCTTCAAATTGGAGATATTTTGTTATCCTAGTGTTTTGAGGATTCCACAGCCATGCATAATTCTTTGCAGCATCCATTCCATTTTTTTTTCATTTCAATTAGCACAAGGCAAGTGTGATGCATGCACATGACCAGAAAACTCTAGAAAACCAATAAGAGAAAGAATAGCTTCCAACCAAGAGTTCAACAATGTAGAGAAC